GACAGAAAATGACTTCTATACTTTTAAAATTTGCACAAAATTTAGGAGGTCTTTAGACCGAGCCAACTATATTACAATTGCTATTTTGAAATTTGGCCGCATGGCGCAGCAATGGGAGGTCTTTAGGCTGAGCCAACCATATAAAAAATATTGAAAATCCTTCATTATACAGGACAGCCTCTCCTGTAAGTGAAGTTTTGTACAGAAACATGGTATCATGGTAAATCCTTTTATGATAATTGATATGGTACTTTTTAAGAAAAGCCAGTAATAATAATAGTAATGGTAATAGAATATGCATGGATAGCCGCACGGCATTTTAAGTATATCACGTGACTTAAACTAGGTTTAATTGGTGGTTCTCAATAGCCAATGATAGTAATTACCCAGTGTTAAATTCAAGAGCAGTCCGTCCATAATAATAAATAATATATAACTATGTCTAAATAAATAATTTTTATTTTTATATTTTATAATTAATAATTTTGATTACAAATCTACAAAAATGTTATTAATGTTTTAATTATAGTTGTTATTATTTCTTCTTCTGTATTTTTCGCTGCCGCCTCTTTTACCAATATTCCCTACGCTTGGAGCTGGACCTGGAAGTGGTTGTAATAATTCATTAATATGTTCCACAGTACGATTTAATTTTACTGGTCCCCTACTAGGTCCCATCATATTAGGAGGTGGCATACCTTCTTGATCTATATTATTGATTAGTTAATTAATAATGATAAACAATAAAATTCATAAATGAATTAGATGAAAATAAATGTAAAAAAAATAATTCCGTACATACTAATTTTAGGCTTTTTTAACATGATATCTGGGTCATCGTCACGTTCAAAAACTCTTTTACGATCTCGATCATCTCTCATACTCATTGCCATCATTTCTCTTTCGTCTCTAGGGATACGCTCTTGCATGTCATAATCGGACTTTAGAAGAAATAAAAATACAACAATTAAATTAATTACATTTAAACTCAAAAATAAAAAAATTAGAAGACATACATATATCTTTCTACCACGTCTTGGATTGGGTTCATCAAGATGACGTCTTCGACCTTGATCAGCACGATGACGTTCTCTATCCTGTATCCTCTCCCTTTCCCTATCTTCCTCCCGAATACGTTCCCTCTCTCTTTCTGGATCTCTACTACGCTCTCTCTCCTTATTTTTATCTTTTTTATCTTCGCGTCTATTATCCTCACGTTTATTATCCCTTTCTTTATCCTTCATTCTATCATGATCTCTTATATCACGATCTTTAATACGTTGTTGATGATGCTCCATCCTTTTGCTACGATCATCAATCATCGTACGATCTTTACCAGATTTCTGTAATTCTCTATCTTTTTTTTCGACTTCACTTCGTGACATTTCTGGTTGTTTCATCCTATCTTTAATTTCCCTTGTCCTTTCTTTCTCACGTTCATGGTAATCGTTGTTATTCTTTTTTAAGTCTTTTTCCCGATCATGATGATCAATCTTTTTAACTATATCTTTATCTTTTTCTCGGTCACTATATGTTTCACCTTTTTTCTCTCTGGCACGATCTCTATCGCGATCTTTATCACTACCACCACCAACACTACCACCACCACTACTACGTTCCCTCTCACCAGCACGATCTCTTTCACGTTCCTTTTCACGTTCCTTTTGCTTTGGTTTATCAGGTAAAGGATGAATTTGTCGACGAGGACTATCAGTTCTACTGTTAGGTGCACGAGGTGATGAATGTGAAGTGTGTTGCATAATTAGAGGACTTGATCTTGATGTCCCAGCATTTGGAGAATTCAATGAGCTATGTGGATGATCTCCATGAATTGATTTTGGAGTTGAAACATTTGCATTACTACTACTACTATTGGCATTATGATTAGGAGATGTTGCAGTTGCAGATGTAGATGTAGAATTGTTGGCGTTGGCATTTACGTTGTTAATGTTGCCATTTGTAATGTTATTAGCAGTTTGTTTTGGCGTTTGAAACTGTTTCATTGGCAACCATGATTTTTTTGCCACAGACAACTTTCCTAAATAACTATTATATAATAAATCAATAAAATCGCGGCAGTAGAAATAATAAAAAAAGAATTCATAATATTTATTTCTTTAATACCTTTTTGCCAGTATTTTGATATCTGGTCTTTGATTATAATTATCAGGACTTTCTTCATGTTGAACTATATTTTCAATAAAACTAGTAATTTTTTTGCCAATAGTTTCAACAGCTGGAAAATGCGCAACAATATGATTCAGAACAATCATTGCATTCCGGAGTGATATATATTCTTCAGAAGTTAGACATTGTTCAAAAGCCTAATTAATTTTATTTAAATTAATAAATGAATGAATGTTTTTATGTATTTGTTAGTTTACAATATGCAAGAAATTAATGATTGACTGATGAATTAATATAATAACCTTCAAAAGTTTTGAATGCCATTTATAAAAAACACGTCTAAAATCTTCGTATTGAAGTAAATCGGTTTCTGCAATATTAGTTGGTTGTCGAACCTGTGAACTCCATTTCATTTGGAAACCAGGAATACCTTTTCCTTTACCATAGGCCTCATATGATTTTTGATCTCTATGTAAAGAACTCAAATATTTCAAAACTGTGTGTAGGAATCGACCATAATTACGAGCTTCTGTCTCAGTACAAGTGAAAGTTATTGGTTGTACTTGATCTGCAAATATCTATTTCAATGGGAAATAAATAAAGTTTTGATAACTTAACTCAAGAAACAAAGTTTTTTTTAAAAAAAAAATAACAACAATAAAAATATAAACATACTCTATCATAAAGCGTAAGTGTTGAAAAATTGGCAGTTCCAATCTCATGCATTATCTCTATAAACTTGGCACAAAAAACTGCATTGTCAGCTGATAACAGTAAACGTGGGAATAGACAATATTGCCAGAATTGTGTAATGATATCTTGCCGATTAGAAACTATAACAAACAAATAAGTTAATTAATCATCATATTATAAGTTATCAAGTTTAATGTATTCTTACATTGACCGGAAAACCAATGATCTTTTTCTCTCTTTAAACGTTGCCTTATATTTTCAACATGATCTAAATGTGCTTTACGTTCAGAATCTAATGATTTAGCCATTGATAAAAGTTTATCTTTATCTCTGGGTCTTTTATCACTAGATAATGCAATTGTTTCATTTTTTGATTTTATATATTCATCATTGGGGCATTCTATGTCATATAAAGAAAGTTGCCAGAAAGTTGTGTAAAAAGTTGGACTATAAAAACGATAATAATAACAGTCATTATGATGATGACGACGAATAAATCATTTTCAAAAAAAATGTAAAGTAAATTAAAAAAAACATAGTATAATACCAATTAATAATAAACAATGATTGACTAATTAAATACCTTATGCCAGTCCACACATGTGGTGGATGTATTTCTTTTACTTCTTTAATAAAATCTCTTAATGAAGGCTCCCATACATTTGGTTCTCCATCAACTTCCATTTGATCCAATGAACTTTGTTGCTATTTTTTTTTTATAGAAACAACATTGTTGATTAAAATAAAATATTTAAATGAAACTTTACCAAAAAATTGTTTTTTACCTTGATCATATATTTTAATTTTGGTCGTAGTATACTGAAGGCAAATTCAGGTTGTAAATCATATTCAGTACATAATTCAACTATCAATGGTATCATATTACTGTACTCTTCGCTTCTAATATTCAGTGCAAGAAAATCAATATACTGAATGTATATGCTTCGATACTATTATTGATAGTAAAGAAAAAGAAAAAGAAAAACAATAATAAATTAATATAATTATCGCTTCCTAAGCAAATATATAGAGGTAATGGGCGAAGAACTCACATTATCAATCTGATGACCAGCTATTTTAAGATCAGCTGAAGTCTCTGTAAAATCGGTGAGTACTGAACTGTATGGCACCACTTGAGTTAGTTGAGCGATCAGTACAGCTATCGACACTGTCAAGCCAGCCTCAATCAGTGTCTTGGCAAGTCTTGCAGAACTACGACGAGTATTTTTTTCAATGGTACGATTATACAACTTTATGTTTCTGAGATGCTCACCACCACCCATCAATGTGACTTCCATATCCGATGGTATCCCAGTGGGTTCAATTCCAGACATTGTAGATATTAGCTGCGAGAGAACTATTAAATCTTTTGGTTCGTTGCATTTAAGTTGATTTACTACATATTGTAGTATACTTTTTAGATCCATTGTGTTGTATTTACGACAAATGTTACCACAAAATTGAGCCAAATGTTGTAGCCAATCGCTAACATTTAATTTATCATCTTTGATTTTGTCTTTTTTATCAGCCAAAATCGAAAGAATTAAATAAGTCAAGACATCATAACTCAATGGAGTCAAATATTTACAGGCCTCCACCATTGGGTTAATTAGATTTGGGTAGGCTTGAACTTGATATAATACTATGTCAAATACAACTATTGGATTAGAATGAGACACCTTAGCAATTTCACGACCTTTTTGACGATAATTTTCTTCAGTTATCCTTTTCATGATACCCTTTGTCTTACGTTTCACTTCATTGACTCTAGTGGTTAGAGCAGGATGAGGTTTCTTATCTTTGATCGTTTTCATATCTTTCCATTCACCATAAAGACCATATCTTATTTCGTATGGATAATAATTCAACAGTTGCCAAAAATCGTTAACTACACCAGGATTTGTGACTAGTAATGAAACACTGGGTAGAAAAACTGATCGTATGATATCATGCCATGCATTTTCAACAATCTTTCTATTAGGCCCTTTCTCTGACTGCATATTAATTTTTCAAAAACACAACAAAATTAAAAATAAATGAATAAATTATATATATATTGACTGGACTATAAACTTGTTGATAGAAAAAAATTACCTCTTTTAGATGTGCATGAGCTATTCTTAAGAGTTTACAAAATAAAATAATATTACTTCCTAGCCAAGGTGAAGCAAGGTTTAAGAGTTCGCGACCACTTTCGGTAATAATATCATCTTTTGATTGGAATTTTGGAATACCTTCATGCCAAAGACCATACCATGAGCCAGATAAGGAGGGAGGAGGTTTCTGTTTTGGTATAGGAGGGGCAATCAAGTTGTGTATGTCAACAATAGAAACATGTATAATGTCACACAATGGCTTTGCAAGTGATTGAGGTATTGTGTCCAATCGGTAAAGTATGAATTTAGCGTGGTAGAAATCACCAATGCTAAGAAGAGCATTTGCTAATCCTATTTCATGCACTCTTGTATCCTTCGTTATTATGTGAGGATAAAGATCAATGATTTGCACGAAACCTTTTTGAATTAGCAAAGCTGAAACTTCATATAAAGAAGGAAAAACATTATCCCCAGCAGTTGTGGCTGTAGAGTCGGTGATAGTGGGTATATTTGCAGTTGCGGTTGCAGTGGTAGTAGTAGTAGCAGCAGCAACAACAGCAACGGTTGCAATAGGAGTTGTTGTTGTTGTTGTTGTTGTTGTTGTTGTTATTGTTGCTGTAGGCAAAGCATCATCCTTTGTGTTATTATTATTATTATTATTATTATTATTAGTAAAAGATGCAAGTTGTGGTGAAATGAAAAAAAGAATGTGTAAATTGTATTGTTATTATCATTATCAATATTGATATATCATTATCATTATTATTATTGATGATGATGACGATAGTATCAGAAGAATAATCGAATCAATCAATCAATTAATCAATCAATCAATCAACCAACCAACCAACCAACCGACTAACTGACTGAAGCTTACTTGATAATATTTGAATTTTGATCCAAGTAGATGAGCACAAGAAGAATTTCCGGGATCATTTTCCCAATGATCTTCTTTAATTTCATGAATGGTGGATGATGCTGTTGCAATAACGGCTGAAGAAGAAGGTTGCCAAGGTGATAATTCCAAGAGACGAAGTAAAAAAGCATGGTGAGATCTCACATGCACAACAAAGACATCAAGTATTAAGTCTAATACTCTGTTAGGATCAAGATGAAAATATCCTATTAATGTCTTTATTAATTCAAGTAAACTGTTTGCACGTTGATTCCGATCGTTCTCATTTTCATCAGTAAAGGTGGGATCGCAATTTGATGCCAGTTCACAAACAATTTTTGAGTACCCTTCGGATTCTTCACGCATTAAGTTGTACTTTTGTTGTTTGTATCTGTGATCAATTCAAATATTATTATTGTATTCTTCTTATATATATATATAGATATGTATCTAATTTTAATTGATTCTTCTTACAGTATTGCAGTGTTGATCCGAACTGCTCTTTTGTTAAAATTAAATTCATCCACAAGACCAGCATTGTGTAATAGTGAAACATCAAGCCGAGTTTTTATTAACTTTGCATCAACTATGTGATTATCCTAAATAATGTTATTTGTATATTGCTTAATATTAATTACTCGGAAAAAAATAAAAATACTAAAATAAAAATTGCTTACAAAAATATATCTAGCAATAGTTGCAAGTTTATTTCTCAAGTCGCTAGTGTTATGTTGACCATCCAAGATTGTTGAATCAAGGTACCATATGACATCCAGCATCGTTTCTTTCATCGTATTGGTATCAATTTCATTGGTAGTTAAACTTTCGAAGACAGTACTGAGACTACTGACAGGTTGTTGTCCTCGCATTACTTGATTAAAGGCTACGAAAAGAATGGTGTCCATGGTAGTTAATTAAAAGGTTTATTATTATAAATATTATAAAGGACTTTACCAAAAGGAATTTGTGTTTAAATAATTTTTTTGAAAAAAAAATGTATTACATAAATAAAGATCACATGATTTAAAATCAAATATCATACATAGTAATAATCGGACTATATAATAAATAAGGGAATTCCTATTAGTAATTTCGGCTACGCAGTAGGTATAAAGTCAAGATTTCAGGGACCAAATTGTTTAATATTAGTAGTAGTAGTATTAATGTTAATATTAATTTTAATTTTTGGGTGAAGGTACTTTTTCTCGAAAATGCTACATGGCCACAAAAATCTACAACTAAAATATAAATAAAGGAAAATATTGTTGAAAATGTCAGCAATTAAGAATCTATTTTTTACAGCCAATTATGACAACTTGGATTCTCGAATTTCTTTATTAGCTCGGCTTACAACAATGTAGATATAGCATAATGATATTTTGTAAACGATCCTGAAAATATAGACTTTTATGAAATTGATGACTTTTCTTTTTACATTTTTCTTTTTGTATCTTTATTAATTCTTTAAAGATTTGGTTCTATATAGAACTAATTTTGATACATAAAATCAATTTACAAATATATCAAGAATTCGACAATTGAGATCAGAATTTTCAGCAACTACAGTCAATAAAAATTATACCAAATTATAATCCTTATTTCAAAGTATATAGTGATGCAAACAACTCATTTTGGGGTTCTTGAGCCCGAACTATCTTTTTGTTAGCATGGAACCCAGATTTGGTTTTTTTGAGTAGTTATTAATTTATTATTATTATTGTTCATACTATTACATTTAAATAGGATTTCAAATGAAGATATTTTAATGCTATTTATTTTTTCCTATTGTTTTTCATACTATTACTTTAAATATGATTTCAAACAAAGATATTTGAAGTGTAAATCTAATGCTATTCATTTTTCCTATTATAATTATGGTTTATCAATAAAAATAGAATCATACCAAGAACATCAAATAATAATTTTTTAACTTTGTTGCACAAATTTTCTGTACAAATCCGCACTCAATTTTCTACACTGCTTGTAAAGCGGTTAAAAATACACATACAGTAGAATCTGTCTAAAAACATACCGTATATAAGCATAACCTGTCTAAAAGCATAGAATTTCCTCGGCTATAAGCATAAAAAAATTCTGAACTTAATATTGGACATAAGCATAATCACGTGTATCAACAAAATTTTTGTTCACACTATTTTTTAAAATTGACCAGGCCTTTTTGGGAACAACTAAATATTTAAAATTGCTTATTAAAAAAAATCATGAATTGTGTGACATCATAAACATATAAATGCAAAGCCTGCTTTTAAGAATAACCTGATTGATAGCATAGGATTTTCTTGGCCAAACAATATGTATTACATAATTTTTGGAGTTTTATAGTGCCGGTCACAAGTACACATCCAATAAAAATTGCCTTTCTAAGAAATGATATTCAACGAAATGGAAAACCCATTTTGAAAAAATAACATCATCATTTTGTTTATCTTAAGTAAAGTTATCAACTGACGGTTGGATTTTGAATATTGGTCGCACAGAGCTTGAGTTATATCGGTTTAAATTATGGGTTAATTTACTATTTTTACTATGTTTGGAAGGGGTCTGATTCATTTCGTCGAAAGTTTGTTTCGTCGAAAGTTTGTTTCATCGAAAGTTCATCTCGTCGAATATTCATTTCGTCGAAAATTATTTCGTCACAAAAAAAAACTTCATTAAACAAATTTCTCCTCATACTTCCCACACATTCCGCTTTCCTCACCTAATTTCTTAACTAACTTCACATCTAACTCTTTCGGTCTCTGGCTCGAGGATGAATAATTTTCGACGAAATGAACATTCGATGAAACAAATTTTCGACGAAATGAACATTCGACGAAACGAACATTCGACGAAACGAACTTTCGATGAAACAAACTTTCGATGAAACAAACTTTCGGCGAAATGGGTGTCGACGAAATGATTGTCGACGAAGTAAACGCGACCGATATAAAGCTTGAGATAAAAAGACCGTACTAAGTTTTTAGATTAGAAGACATTTTATATAGTGTAAAACATTTATTAAGACTATTATTATGGTGACAAAGCTATCCCAAGAGTAGATTAAACTCGGAAATGCATTTTGTTCTCTCCAAAAATCACTTTCGTATAAATTTCAATTTCCTATTTATTGCAAAAATGTTATATATAACAAAGGAAATGTCAATTTTTAATCGATAATTTAAATCCATCTCCAATTATATTATCTACAATGAATAGCCCATTCATTTCCAATCATTTGATGGCTCAATTTCTTACCAAGCCTGCGGATATTTAATTTATATAATAATAAAAAGTTCAATCAAATTATGATAAATAAACAATCAAATAAAAAAACAGTAAAAATTTTTAAATTTTATCAATATTTATATCTATGTAATTCCATTTTTTTTTTATTAGATTAATTTTAAATTTGGGTTTATTTGAAATTTTTTATTTTGAAAAAGGAAAAGGATTTTTATTAATTCAGTAATATTAATATCAATCAAATATTCTTTTGTATGATGGTTTAGAATTAATGAAAACAAATGTCCTCTTATGCTGGCCAGATTAATAATGTGATCCTTCAGATGGTTTTTCTGGAAAATAGCCTAGTTTGCAAGTTTCCAATTGGAATTTACTCCTCCATTGCTTCTTGGTATATATATTGTTGAACCTATTTAAATTATTTAAATAATATGTAGATACTTTACACATTCAAATAACACATACAACAATACCAGTAAATGTATTATCGTCTTCAGTGCAAGGAGAGTAAATGTATGGAATTGCATCATCTTTTTCGACAAAAGAAAAGAAATGTCAACAACTTGTCACAATGGGACCTTGCTACAGCGAACTATAATCAAATTCTTGTTATAATGGGTTTTTTAAAATTTTTACTTCACATATAAAATGTATAAAAATCTGTTGTGGCAAGATTAATAATCTCGCCACAATGGATTATTAATAAAATTTTCTTAATATTATTATTATTTATGTGTCCCATTCATCTGCTGTGACAAGGTTTGACTGTATAGGATATAATGATTACACAATATTAATATAAATCAATATAAGGTTACATTTTACACAAATATTTTGACATATTAATATGTGGATCGTTTAATAATACTGCTTGCTGATTTTAATTTTTTGTTTGAAATACAATCACACCTGTCTATTTGCATAAAAAATGATCATGATACGATATATAATTATTATCTAGGGAAAGGATTTACAAGTGATTGCAATTCACGTACGTGAAATTCAAATTAACCAATCAGAATCCCATATCCAACACCACCTCAAAATTTTAAATTATAGATTCCATAGTATTTTTACACCATCTAGCTTTTTAGTCTCTCATCTGAACAATCCTTAGGTTGCTGTTTTTTTTTTAAAGACAGATTTGATAACGTTCATTGGTGCCCGAAAATTCCTATAGATGATGATTGGACACTTCAACGGCTACAACCATCTCCAAGAATTATGTTATGTAATTACAATTTATAATTTGAATTTAACGAATTGGATGTTAAGAATAAATTTATTAATAGCGAGGCTGCAGTAGATGTTGGTCATAAAAACACTCTTGATAATGAATGATCAATTAATTTACGGCTAATGCCGTAATGACAATGATAATCAGACATCTATGTTCTACGAGCCCTAAAACGATCATCATAAAGTGATTTCTTCCTTCTGACGAAATGGTGGATAAAATTGTTTATTAAACGAACGATGATTAATTAAATATTATTACTTGTAAATCCTCCAATTACAACTTCCTTTTTAAACAGTGATTTAAAAGTATTATTACTTGGTAAATCCTCCAATTCATAACTTCCTTTTTAACGTTGGTACAAATCTGGTATAAATATATCTTTTTTTATTATCATTATCATTATCGTTATCGTTATTATTATTATTAGTGGGGTCTGAGAAAATTTCCGGGGCTTCTTTGGATGTTTTATTTTTTTTTATTTGTTTATATTATTTATTTACTATTACTATTATTATTCTTTATCAAGAGCTCGATAAACAAATAACTATTACAATCAGATCTTGTAATAAGATTTGTGTGATTCTTGTAGTCATTCCTGTATTTTTTCTATCAGAACACTCTATCTATGAACAATTAGAATTTGGTTTTTTTAGTTTATTGGCTTTTCTAAAGCCAAAAGAAACCCGATTGTTCAACATCGTCAATTCATTCAAAGCTTGCTTCAGCAGTCAATTTATCTAATTCTTCTTGTTCTTCATTATGTATTTTTTTAAAGACGAATTATAGATTTTAAGTTGTGTCAATGCTACGAAGCTCAAAAGAAGATTGTTTCTTTTCAAAATACTTAAACGACGACATTGTATATAAATCTTAATAAAGTCAAATTGATATACATAAATAATTTTAAATATCACATCGGTTTTACTGAAAGAACTTAAATCTTATTAAAATACATGAAGATCTTCCTGATTTCCCTGAAATATTAATGGTTACGAAATGCGCCCCATAATAATAACATGCCTGCAAAACATTTTTCTTAATCAAAGGAATTATTTTTTGGAATCACCAGAGTAAATAAATTATTTATGGTTATGAAAATTTGTTTGTCAGTATTATAACACCTTGTATATTATAAAACAAATTTAAATATACTATTTTTTTTCTGAATAGGTTAGCTTGTTGGATCTATTTCAAGCAAGTATTTTTTTAATTTAATAATAATAATAATAAAATAATATAATAATAATGTTTTTTTACCTTTATAATTTATAATATACAGCAAAAAATATCTGACCGAGGAAAATTCTATAAATCAAACATACACTTACATTTAATATTACACACACACACACACACACACACACACACATACACATATATATAATGTCCTCCTCAATATCACCTTTATATCGACCTGGAACTTTTCCAGCACTTTCAACTCGTCTTCTATCTAGTGCTTCACAGTCATTAAGACAAGCCATTAATTCACAAATCCTTTTAAAAACATTTTATTCCACTCCTTTAAGAGTTGGTAGTTTACCACTTACAACCACAAAAGGGTTCACTTACCTAATAGCTGCCTCGTGGCATCCCAAAAGAAAACGTACGCCACCTACAGCAATTGTCAATTCAATATCTGAAAATCATCATGCGTGGTGGAAAGAGCGTGTCAGACCTGGTAAAGTTGATGCTGGTGAAGATGCTTTTTTTTACGTAGGAACTAATAACGGTGTAGCATTAGGCGTTGCTGATGGTGTTGGCGGTTGGACTCAGGCAATAATTAATTATTAAATAATTATAATTGTTTTTTTTTTTTTTTTTTGGAAAATTAGTATATTCAACCTTTATTTTTTTTGTTAACTAGATGGGAGTAGATCCTGCAAATTTTTCTTGGGGGTTAATGGAAAATGCAGCAACAGTAGCTAAAGAATTTAGTTCAGCAGAGATTGCATTATATAGTGCATCGTCTAGTAGTAATGGAATGCCAGATATACTAGATTCAAAAAAAATACTGGCGGGGGCATTTGACAATTTAATAAAAGGTGGTAAAGTGAAAGCGGGTAGTTCAACAGCTTGTATTCTCTCGCTATCAAAATCCTCAGGAATTCTAAACGCAGCATCACTGGGCGACTCTGCCTATTTGTTGATTCGTGATGGTCAAGTGATTTACGAATCACCAGCACAACAACATTTCTTCAATTGTCCATACCAATTAACAATCGTTCCTGAACATTATCCTAATCAAAAATTATATTTCAAAGATAAACCAAGTGATGCATATCAGGCAAGCCACCAACTGCAAGATAACGATGTTATTTTGTTGGCAACTGATGGTTTTTTTGATAATGTTTTTGCCAACGAAGCAGTAGCTATGGTTAATAAGGAATTACAAGATGTTATAAATTATAAAAATAGTAAAAGTAATAATAATAATAATGATATAAATATTGATGAATTACGAGGTCATGTGAAAAATTTATCAAGACAATTGACGGACACTGCTAGGCGTTTCTCATTGGATCCTAGACGTGTAAGTCCCTTTTCACAAGGTGCAAAGAAAAGTGGTGAAAGTAGGATTGGAGGGTAAGAATTCAATTTTTTTACTGATAATGTGTTTATTTGTATTCGCTACTTGATTTTTTGATCACTCATTAATTATCGTCATCATCATTATTTATGATTATAAATAGGAAACTAGATGATATAACAGTACTAGTGACCTTGGTACAAGCAAATAAATGAAAAAAAAAATTTTTTCATTATTATTTTAAAAAGCAAAATTCATTCAATATTTTGTTTAAAAAATTCATTCAATATTTTATTTTAAAAAAACTCATTCACATCTATTCATAATCATTTCTTTGTAAATTCTCATTAAAAAATTGATTATTCTATTTTTCATTTTCATTTATTTTTATTATTTTATTATTAATCAATTATTTTTGTAAAATACACACAAATATAGAAGAAAAAATAAATCTTAAAATAAAAATATTATTTATGATTATATTATTATTACCTTCTCTTTCTTATATTATAATTTACAATTATCATTATTATTATAATTAATATTATTATATAAACTTCAATCAATCAATCAATCAATCAATCAATCAATCAATTAAAATTAAAAAGTATTTATATTATTACCAGATATATTAAATGTAAATTAAAAAAATACATATTAATTATTATTACATAAATTATATTTTTAATATTTTCATACATTGATTGGAATGGAAAAGAATGCAAGTACAGTGACGTTTTATGTTGTTTGATATGAATATGAGATATGAAAATGAGTGAATTATATATATATATATATTATATGAAAATATTATTAATAAATTAATAATTCTCCTTTTCTAAAAATTTATTTTTTTGATCTTAGGCCCAAACCTATATAATTGATATAAATATTTTCATTAATTAATAATAGTAATAATAACAACAATAATAACACCATTCAAATTATTCGCACAAAAAAATTTTTTTTTACTTACCCTTAATAATGAATCCCAACTACCCGTAGATAAAGCCATACCATCTTCTGATACGCCTAAACAACTAACACGATTATCATGACCAGCCAGAACACCAACACGTTCACCCTTCAATGTATCCCATACATTACAATTGTAATCATCATAACCTGCAAATAAAAGTCTGCCAGAAATTGAAAATGCAACTGATGTGATCCCACAAAGGATGTGATCATGAGTGTATTGGTTCAATTCTCTATCTGCACGTAAGTCAAATAATCTACAAGACGCATCATCTGATCCTGTTCCAAACGCATCGCCATTTGGGAAGAATCTATTGATTAATTAATTAATTACAAGAATTATTCTAGTTAATAAATAATAAATATCAGTTTACAATTCATTAATCGATTATATTAGTTGAACTTACTGTACAGCATTTATATCAGATTCGTGGCCAGTAAATGTTTGCACACATTGTCCAGTTCTAATATCCCAGACTTTTGCTGTGGCATCACAAGCACCCGAAACAAAAATTTGTTGACTTGGAGAAAGCGATAAACTAAATAAATAATTAATAATCAATTATCATATTATGATCACTATTCTTACCATTGCTATTATTATTATTATTACTATTGTTAGAAATAAAATTCTAACGATTAAATTTTCATTATTACCTCATCACATCACCGGTATGATCATTAAACTCCAGTACTTTCATACCAGCAACAATATCCCAAAGAATACAAGTCATATCCCCAGATGATGTTAATATTTGCCTATCACTGAGGAACCGACAACAAGAAAGATAACCTGTATGAGCCGCCAATTCTCTAGCAACTTTGACCGAACCTTCTTTTGTTTTCAAATTATATATTGAACATATATTATCCAAACCACCACAAGCAACAAAATCTCCTGTTGGTGCATATGCACATGTCATCACCCATGAAGATTTTAGCGGAATGGCATGAACTTTGTTGGTTGTTGGTGCATCCCATACAATCAATTTACCGTCTTGTGAAGCAGATACCAAATGCCTTTGATCTGACGCCCAATGCATCGCGTAAATTTTTGCCAAGTGACCTTTTAATGTACGACGAATTTTCATTACAATCCTTGGTAATGATTCGACATCTGTTGCCATTGTGGTCACTATGAAAAATATTAAAAAATTAAAAAAGGTTAGTATTAAAGAATTCACTATGAAGGATAATTTTTAAAGGAAAAATCTTTCTTGCTACGTACAAGATGTATCAGCCAATGAATCCTTTTTCATCTTGATTTTTTCTTTTAAAGTTTCAGCTTCTTTACGGGCTACTGTTATTCTTTCTGCAATATCAGACATTTTATTATTATTGTTATTTATTATTATTATTTCTATTCAAGTAATTAGTGGAGTGGCAGCAAGTAGGTGGATTAATAACTAGTTAATTATAGTGGCGATGTAAATATTAGTGAGGATTAAGAATTTAAATGTTATGTTTGAAAGAAGCTATTATTATAATGTAAGTAAATTGTTATTCTTGTAGTTGTTGTATTGGTTTCTATTATTATTATCAACTTTATACATATACACAAGAATTATTGGAGTAATTATATATGAATTTATTTAGATTTCTTCTTTCAAATTTTTTTTTTATTTTTCACCCGCAACAAATAATTGGTTATTATTATTATTTTTATTAAAGAAACAATAAAAAAGTCTTTATTCTCCCTCTATTTCTTCTAATTAAAAAAAAAATTTTTAATATGAAAATAAAAATAAATAATTCGTGTCACATACATACAAAACTTTCATTATTATTATTATTGAAAAAATGGATTGATTGCTTTTTTGTTACCCAATATTAGTTATGTGTCACAGAATAGTCTTTTAAATTAAAACTTTCTTAATTTGTAAATTGATGGCAAATGCACAATAACAGTAGAGAAAAATGCACCAGTCAAAGTGTGTAATTCTTATGGGCGGAGTGATTATATGAAGGTCTGGAAATTAATTTTGTATTATTGGGGAGAGATATTGAATATTTGTATGATTAATTAATAGCTTTAGCTTGCACTGTGTCAAAATTTGAAAAACTCGCAGAATATTGATCTTATAAATTACTTTGTAATCGTTAATTGATATTTAGAATGCTGTTTTAATTAAATGCCAAGCTTTATGGCAACCAAATATTTATGTGATATCTTAAATACAGAGAATTTTATGTTGAAAATGTACAAGGTTATTTGTCGTTCTAAAATCAAGTCATCAAAATTCTACAAATATTGAATTTCGATGCCAAACGAAGAGAATCTATATTTAAAAGCGATTCATTTTTTAAAAAAGAATTTCCCGCCTTAACAATGATGTCTGCGACTATATTATATTGAAATTAGGACAATTTATCACTATATTTTCTCAAAGGAAAAAAATTATGTCTTTAACATTGAGAGTGATTGTTGTATTGCTATTAAAGTAGCTATTTTTTACATGGGGCATGTTGCAATAAAACAAATATCTTTCTTTAAAATATAAATAAACATTTAAGTCAAATACCATATCATATCTAATAACTGTGGTTGATTGGTGTGGATATAGATGGTTAAAAATCAAAGTTTTATAATCTTACATTTGGTATATGCTCTTCTTGTTATTTCTTTTAGCAAACCTTGCCTGATCTGTGAATTCTGCCTTTCACGGACAAGGGTTTGAAGATAGAGAGACTTCTATAGACTCTTTGAAAAACAAATAAAGCCAAAAATGCAATTCACAGCTTTCATTCCACCTTGAACCTTTCACCATAGCATATTTTTCAGAGAATTGCTCACATTTCTCCGACAACCGTTTTCACGACATGATGTTTCTCCGACAACCGTTTCCCCGACAGGATGTTATCTAATACACTCTATCAGTATTTATTTGTTTTCCAAAACTGAAGTCAGATTGGTCTTTTCTCTCAGATAAGGAATTATAAATTGTCAAGTTTGTCCATAAATCACGTGAACATGTTACTAATAATAAAACTCCCGTTCTAAAAAGACTTCTATTAGAACCATCGCCCAATAATAAATGATAAAGATCAAAATATTATTATTTTATTTGGCTATTAATTTGTTTTAATCGAGTTTATTTCAACGGGTTGAGACAAGCTACGACTAATTAATATCTCATCTCTAACCACCACATAATAATCATAATGTTTGTTCTTCTGATGCTGATAATAATAATACACCTACATATAAACGTTGCGGAGAAAAAGGATCATATGAAAGCGTTAATAATGATAAAGAGATTGTCCAAGAAGATATATTCAATCTGTTTGAAAATTGTCAATTTGAAATTCGCGCAATCAGAATTTTGTATCCAAAATAATAAATTGACACAAATTTGATTGGTTGTCGATTTTATATTATAATATTATATTTAAGCTTGTCCTCCGTAATAAATATCAAATGTTGCAACAAACCGTAATGTTACAACATACCCGTAATGCTACAACATACCCGTAATGTTACAACATACCCGTAATGTTACAACATACCCGTAATGTTACAACATACCCGTAACTTTACATATTATACATAGTATCGAAACATAAACACGATGCAGTTAGAACCTTTTAAAAACATTATTATTATTATAAATATAAACACTAAAAATTCGAATTCGCTTATCTACTCATCATCTAATTGCATGTGGATCTCCATTTTCGTCTATATCACTTTTCTTGAGGGTGGTTGATATCCAAGATTTAATGCTTTTAAAAAATCAATGAAAAACGGATTTTCTACAAGGAATAAAGGTAATTCACACATAATAAACATCATAACCAAAGCTTTATCAATTGTTTTATGCGTGATTCTTCTAAATCAACTGAACAAAAATAACCATCAATATGACGTTGTCCAGAATGTTCAGCAGGTTTTCCTTGTTTAGAAAATGTTGACTTTGTAAAATCAATTCATTTACTTCATTTTTATTAGTTCATATGCTTTTGAACATGAGAGTGTAAAGGATATGGTCGGGCATCTTTAAAAAATGACAAACATGGCTTACACGTAACTTGGTAATGTCCATTACCAAGATTGCTATCACGTGTAAATTATTCCCAAATATCACTATATTTTGGACCATCTTTAGTTATTATATTTGTGGGAGAAGAGAAATGATATAAAAGGATCATACTTTTATTTGTATAATAAATATTACAATATTACGGTTAGTTGCAACTCGTGTTGCACCAATGTTGTATTTTTGCAACACCGTAATACCGTAATTTTACATTACGGGTGCCATCAAACTCTAATTATCATCTATTACTAATGGTACAACAACAAAAACAACCATTAATAATATTAATAATGCACCGTAATTAATAGAGTTTCAAATATTTAAAGAAAAATGGTTGTTTTGTAACGTATGTTAATTTAAAAAGTTTAATTAATGTCAATGAAGATATTTCCAATTGTTAGAAGATATAATTTGAGGCATGCGTTTCTAACAAACGATTGCTAACTCGATGCCACTTTTATTAATATGATCAAAATTTGTTTTACGTCGACTCCACAATTTATTTCCAAGTATATTTGAGATATAGTGTACGCTTATTTAACCGAATTCAGTTAGGTTATTTTTTCCCTCGATCAAATTCTTGAAATCACAATTTCTACCATTACATTTGTTTCTAATGTAGGGCAGCAAATTATTTTAAATTTATATACGATCAAGTCGATTTATCTTGCCTTCAACTCTAATACTAAATAATGTCCAATTTTCGGAAAAAACACTCCCAAGCTATTATTCCTGCAAGGTCATCTTTTCTAAAAATAGTAAAACGAAACTCATCACCGAGCAACACTTTTATGGAGACACGGTGGCTTTACAGCAGCAACTCTGGAGAGAATTATAAGCTCATAGAGATTTCTGCAAAGTGTCCTAGATGAAATCTCAACTCCACCATCTTTGTCGTATTTTTTTTTTTGCAAAAATTCACACCAAAAAATTTTGGAAAAAAACATTGATGATCGTTTCGCGCAACTGTTATATATGTATGTTAACATTAATATAGAGGTTTTTCTGTATCATCTTCATGCTACACGTGGGAACAGACAAGCATTTCTGGCTGTCTGATAAGATTTTGGCCATACTTTTTTTTACTAAAAAATTTGATTGTATATATGATATATAAAAAAAATAAATTTAGGAGGATATTAATAATAAAAATTGTTGATGATGAACAAACTAAAAGGTTTGATCTTTTTCTTTTTTATTTTTGAAAAAAGATAGAAAGGAGAAAAGGGAATAAGAAATGATATCAACTTTTAAAGGCTTTACTATCATGTTGATGTTTTTGTCTTGGATATTTATCATTAAGGCAAAAAACAAGCCAAGTAGTAAGGAGTTGAGCCAACTTTTTATTGAATCAGTTAATTAAAACAAATAAACACAATTTATTATTATATATTTAATTTACACATATCTCACATTATTATCATTATTTTCCAATAAACCAGTTCCTTCCAGATTACTATTTTTATTTCTATTAAATAAATAATTTATAAATGATGATTTGTTATTATTGTTGTTGTTGTTATTGTTGTTGTTATTGTTATTACTGATTATTGAATCATAATCTTCATGATCTTTATATAATAAATAATGTTGAATCATGAATAATAAGTCAAATGTAATACTTAGAAATCCAAGCCCACTAGAAATTTCAACGTTAGGGTTTGATTGATTGGTTAATTAAAGAATGTTATAATGTAAATATGATAATGTGATGTGAATGATATAATAATACTTACAATTTAACAAAATCCTAGATTTGAAAATTTTTAAAGATTTTAATAAAAATAATTTTCTAATTCACAAAAATTTTAAATAAATAATTACTTACTCCTTTTATACCAGACCAATTATTAGTTAAATAGGCATCAAGTATTAATTGAAAATTCGATAAAACACCACCAGTAAAATCCTTGGGTTTTGAGAAATCAGGATTATTAATTAATTGATTGATTAACTAAATGAATAGCAAGCAATAACAACAATAATAGTTCTTAATCATATATAATTAAGTTTACCAATAATATATTATGAATACTCCATCCAACAGTTGATTTTCTTTTGAAATTTAAAAATGCCTTTTTTAAAATAAAAAAAAAAAAGATTAATAAGCTTTTTTATTACTTAAAAAAAATTCTATTTTCTAATTAAAAAAAAAATACCTGAGGAACATATTTAATAAAACTAATCGATAATTTAATGTAACTCAAAAAATACATCAAATCAATCCATTGGAATTTAGTAAAGTATATTTCAATTAAAACCAATATCATCATCACCAAAGAAAGTTTTATGAACATTGATGCTGTACATGATATTTTTTGATCTGCATCTCTCTTTATTATTTATTAGTTATAGATTATTATTAATAGATAGATTATTGTTAAAATGCTTACTTTATATATAAAAGATTGAACTAGAGTAATTGTGCTCAGGAGTAAAGCATGTAAAGCAAAAAATACATCATTTGCTCTAACAAGATTGTCTTTATTGCCATTTTTATCTCGATATTCTTTTTGAATTTCTTCAGAAAAGAAGAATGTCAAATTGAACACCTAGTAATTTTACAAGAACAAGCAAAGAAGAAAAAATTATTAAATTTAAAGATCAATAAGAATAATATTTATAAAATACTTACTGAATAACACATAAATCCATAAAAATTATACCATAAAAAGTCTATGGATAATCCTTGCACACTTAAAATTTGGAAATGTGTTTAATATTAATTATTATGAAAAAACATATCTTATAATATTTTACCTTTTACGTTTCCAATTTAATATTGCTTGTGGATAAAAACTTATTGACCAAGCTAAAAAATAAGTCTAGTGATATTTTATCACGTGATTAAATTAAATATTTTGTTTAGATTTTATTTTATCATTTTATCATAAATACAAACTTACCCAACCTATTATACTTGACACTATTTCTCCGATATTATTATTATACATTTTTTATCAAAAAGTTTTTTTTTTTTTTTTTTGGAAAAAGTTCTATTTAAATAAAAATATTAGAACTATGATTGGCTGAATATCGCGTCATTTTTTTATTGTAGATCTATATTTTTATTAATAATAAATGCCAGATTGCCAATAAAAAAATATTCCATAAAAAAATGATGTAATAGTAACAGTAAGGAAAATTACAAATGGGTAGGAATTTAGATAATCAGAAAAAACTATATTATTAACGATTACTCTTGCTTGGTTACCGTTTATTTTTATTGGTAGATACTGAAATTCTTTGATAAAATCAACAAATTATAATTAAATTCGTGTTACAACGGCGATTATTATTAGTATTTTTGATATATAATAACAAAAATGCGTTGTATGTGAAATAATTAAAATTTTGGGTGGGGTGTTTGGATATGAAATTCTGATTGGCAAGGTTTGACTGTATTAAACAGACATGCATAATAATAAAATTCAATGGACAAATTGTGTGTGGGGCGCTTTGAATTTTATCACATGTCACTTGATCCACATGGTTTATTTTTGGTAAAAATCACTGGACTGATATAATAATAATGAATTTAAAAACTGTATATAGTTGTATAATAAAAAAATAAGAAAACTTCTCAAAAAAGGTAATTTTATTTCCTTTACAAGATATTCTCATTCAAATTCAGCACGATATTTGGAATATTTCAATATCAGTCGAACAATATCAATAAGGTGAATCCATATTAATATTTATTTGATTGGTGTCAAAACAAAGTAATAGACACTCATAATACTACATTATTAAGTGTCGTCAATTCACATATTCTCAGATGAAAGAAATCAAACTAGAGAGATTACAAATCACTTAACAATCATTATCAAACACGATTTTATTAGAAATCAAATAACAATAAATATTTTTCATTTAAAATAATTGATGAACCTATAAAAACCAACTCTATGATATAAATCATGAAATAATTGATAAATAGAGCCTAAAAATAAAGCGTAAATAAAACAAACCCACAAATTATCAGAAAAATTGAAAAAAAAGATCCAAGCAATTATTTGACAAAAGAGACCAGGTTGAACCCAGACTTTGCATTTAGTGAAATGGCCAATTAAAATTCGTGAGTTATGCGGGGAGTTGTTGTCCCCCACAATAAAAAAATTTCTATCAATGAAAACGAATTCTAGAAGAAAACCAATAGAAGTCCATCTAGTGATGTCAGCCGACCGAGGAATTTTTATGTACAATAATACTCTCTCGACTCATTCCATTACTTGGAATGACAAAAAGTAAAAACTCCTATCATTAATTTGCCCCAAAAACCACAATACTTGTATATACCAGAATAAAAAATAATAATACATAATGACAGAGATATATCATTGAATAATAAATAATATTGTTAGTAGAAGTGATAGCAACAATGGACCATTAGTAATAAATAGTAGTGGTAGCGAATCTTAGTTGTGGCGAACCTTTTGATCATGAAAAGGATTGATGATTTTTTAAACGAAGATTATCAAAATATATCTGACAGTGATATGATATAAAGGTTTCTAATACAACTATTGAACCTGGTGACAATGATTGGATGGTGAAGTAATTTGAGACTAATGTTAACAATATCCAAATAGAAGAGATTATATTTAACGAAAAGATGAAAAAAAATCAACACCACATTCAAAGCATTATGAAAACAAAATTATGACTATATTAATAGTATGTAATCATAGGTAAAACTATTTATTTATGAAAATCGATATTGGTAGTATGAACAGAAGTATGTAATTAGATTGATAACGCAAATAATGGTCGTAACATGTTTTTTATTATTGTTATTGATATATAATTCATTTCTTTTTCAAAAAATGTAATTACAGCCAATTTTTCATAAAAGTTATATGTTAGAGTTATTTCACACAGAGCACGCAATAATGGAAAAATCGGAATGGTTGCTAGTTTAAAATGGTGGATACTATTTTAACAACCATTCACGATTTTTTATTCGTTCTCATTTTTGACGTAATTATTGGATGTTTCTTCTGCATTCGATAACTCACTGGTTTATTGGATGCCCAGACATGCAATAATAATTTTAGCATGCATATATTACTATTACTATATAATAATAAGGAATATCAGTACCGTTTCCGTATTATTATGGAAAAGTGCATTTTCCGTATCTTTTATACACATTTGTCTACTAATCTGAATTCCGTATGTTTCATACTGTTTATAACGTATTAGTATGTACAGTATTTAGTTAATACTATTTCCGTATGTTATTTTAATAGAGTATATTTATTTGTTGGTTCTAAATTTGAAGATTGTTTAACGCAAAAAGCATAAAACATCAAAAACACGTTGTGTTCGAGCAATAGCAATATTTGAGAAACAACTTTTGTTTAGTGTACAGCTTTGGTTATTGCACTAATTTTAAAGGCAAAGCTAAAATCACAAAATACTCTTGGTTATGTACTATATGTGTCTGTGCAAGTTAATTTTTTGACTGTACATAGAATAACTTTTGCTTAGCACGCTTGTTTTTTTGTTGGTTTTTCAAATACGATGTTCACAAAGCAAAATAAGTATTGGTTTGTTTTTTATGTATAAATTGAGCATGTTTAGAATGTGTTATTTCACTACTTAAAAGTCTTATGTTTGACTAAATTGAAAATTTGTTTTCTGTGTTGTTGATTTATATAAATTTTTAAAAATTGTTTTCCATCATTAGAAAATTTCAAATTATTACTTAAACCTTCGGAAGAATGTCTAAACTGGTTTTGGTTCTTAAACTAATACACTTGGGCCACAGCATTGATCTTAATAATGATAAAAGACGAATTAACAAGGTAATAACTCCCTAAAAAATATTTGGACAATAATCACCATATAAAGGCTACATAAAACTTGCGTCATTATATTTTGATGAAAAGTTTTTCTAGATCAATAATATGCTTACTAACTGTTTTTTTAGTTCACTCCAAAGATATAGGTACCTTTTCTTTCAATCTAATTTTGGACATCATATGCCATGTACAGGTGTATTATCGTCTTGAAATGCATAACCTTCACCATTAAGTTTGTCTGTGACAAATTATTTTTTAAATTTATATACAATCAAGTCAATTCATCTTGCCTTCAGTTCTAAGTAATGATCCCATTTCTGGGAAAAAAACACCAAAGTTATTATTCCACCACATGTTTGATCGACAGTGCAATAGTTTCAGTATGCACCACTAACCAGCTGTATACCAAACACGACAAGACATCTTTTCAAAAATAGTAAAGCGAAACTCATCATTATATGAAGGCTCAGTGATTTTACAGCAGCAACTCTGGAAAAATTCTAAAGTATCAGAGATATCTCCAAAACCTAAAACCGCAAAAGCACTAGTGTTGGTTTCCAAAACTAGAGAGTTGTAAGAGCAGAAACTAGCTTTGACTTTTGACTATTGACTTTGATTTAGTTATGTCATGTAACTTTTAATTTTAGTTTTGACTTTCGCCTTTTCAAAATAGTTTGGCAACCAACACCAAAAAGCACAGTTTAAAACGCCATTTCACGTTGGTGTACTTTTAGCATTATCTGAATTTTTGCAAAAAAATATGCTAAAGATGCTGGAGTTGAGGTTTCATCTTGTACACTTTGCAGATATCTCTGATACCTTACCATTTTCGTGAGAATCAAAATTTTTTTTCGCATAAATTATGACAACATTTCGTTTTTTGGCATTTCAAAATTTAAAAATATGGCAAGAATGATAGTTCATTATCAATGGAAGCAAGGAAGGGTCAAGGATAAAAATGCATAGAAGTCGAACGACTTGTCATGCAAAACGATTTTCAATCTTAGAAAAAATTGGGAAGGTTAAGTTTGTCGACCAAATAACCGCATTGGTTATTGCGCTTTTACTTGACAAAGTTGATATGTTCCATCTTCATTAAAGTAGTTCTATTTTTACAGAAAACTATTAACAAACATTATATGTATACTCTACATAATTGTAAAAAATGGATGCAAATTATGCATTAACCTCCAACCATCGTGTAGAATATTTTTCTGACGTAGGCCCTTTGTGCATTTTAGATTTTTTACAAAGGTGAATTAGATTATTCCATTGCTCGGATGAGATTCTAATGAAAGATTCGAATTTGTTTCTTCATTGCCAATATATATATAATACAATATTGTTATTATTAAAAGTATTTTAAGAATTTTGAAAAAATTGCGAGTATTAGTATTGAAATCCACTTCGGATATCATATGTATATTCGAATAGGAACGCTACAAGAGAGGGCCTTTAATTGTCCACCAAGACCTCCAAGGAAAAATGAAAAAAGCTTGGGATGGGAAAAAAAAATATTAATAATGACTTTGCGTCATCTCATATTTTCCCTTTGAGAATGGTTTCTTTTTATTTCTGGATGATATAATTTTATACAATTGATAATAAAGAGTACGTTTATTTTTGCATATTAAAATGTTAAACATCCCAGCGTACAGTTCAAAGGAATTAGTTGTAATTTAGAATTATTTTTTGAATCTAATGGTTATTAATAATATTATAAAAAAAAGAATTTGATATTTGGAGTGAATTGGATGGAGAAAATAATTTCATTGAAATTATTCTGGTGATAATCAATCCTCATACCATTTAAAACCTGTTTTTAAAGAATATGAAAAAATAATCAAAAATCAATTGGATAGTCGAAAATAATGATTTTAAGATTTGAAATCGGAACCAGGATGGTTTCTAAAGCAAACCATTATGAAAAATTCCTCAAATGATTTATATTACATATATAGGTTTATTTTTTAAAATTGATAAAAAACAAATTAATAATTCAATATTGAATAGAATATAAAATATATTGGAAGATACTTAATATAATAATAATAATAATAATAATAATAAAAATCAATTGAAAAAAAGATTATAAATAGGATTGATTATGCTAATTTATAAATTTACATATTTACATTTAATAAAAACTTTTTCATCACGTCTGATTATTGTTTTATTAATTACAATTGACTGATAATTCTAGTATCTGATTCATTGTCATCATTATTATCGTTATCACTATCACTATTACCACCACTATCATTTTCTTTATACTAATATCTACTTCAGCTTCATTGTTTATTTGAAATGATTTCAATATTATTATTATTATTATTAAATTCATTTTCGTTTTTGTCATGAACTTGTTGATTTAATTCTTCATCTTTTTCATCA